TAGGAGGCCTGGTAGGCTTTCCGATTCAGTTTCTTCCTTCTACATCCTGCTTTCTAAAGTGTCTGAGGTCAAAGGCCTGCAATGCATTTCAGGTATTTCTAACCTAGATGAATCTCCAGAGGTTGGGTCCTTAGTGACTAAATGGTGGGGTGGAAGAGATATCATCAAAGATAGGAGGGCCATTTAGATATGAGAAAATGTCTCCAATAGCATTCTCACAAATAAATTTAAGGAAATATAGTTTAAATGAAACTACTATAAAGTACGTACAAACTGGTTGGATTATCATGCTCCAAGAGTAATTGTCAATGGCTCAAGGTTTAAGTGGAATTTTCCAAGAGTCTTTTTAGGTCCAGTACTGTTCAATATTTTAATTTTTACTTCAAAAATGAAATTGAGTGCATACATATTAAATTTAATTACTTTGAAGGATGAGATTAAGATGGAAAATGACCTTGAAAATTTGGAAGAAATGTTTTAAATAAATAGGATGAAATTCTGAAAGTGCACGTGCAAAGTACTGCACTTAGTGAGGAACAAATGCACAAATATAAAATGTACAAATACAAGTTAGGGACAGACTCGCTAAACTGCAGTACTGCAAAAGAGGACACAAGGATTACATTGGACCGCAACGTGAATAAGAATGACAGTGTAGTAGTGTTTTTAAACACTAATAGCATACTGGGAGGTATTAATAGTAGTGTTGCATATAAGTTATGGAAAAATTATTCTTTCACACCTTTCAGTACTGGTGAAGTTGCATTTGGAGTAATATGTCCAGGAGATAGCACTATACTTCAAGACAAGGGAGATTTCCACCCCCCACATTGCAGCATGGTAAGTGGGTCAGGGCTATATTGTTCACTGGCTAAACCTGCCAGACAACCACAAGGTGCAGCAGGAGCCAAGAAGTAAACACTTTGGGGAGAGAATTCTGGTTCTTTGCCTCCCACAGTCACTCATTTACACCCCACTGCTGCATGAAGTCCTTTTATTGTTTGTTCAGGATATGGTATTTGTCTCATCCCCTCAGAAAATATATATTATGATTCTTAAATTAAAAAGACAAAATGAAGAAGACAATAAAGATCAAATGTAATCAAGAGTATTCCTTTTGTTAAAACTATAGGTAGTAAAATGCTGAAAGTTGTCTAGGTCTAGGAGCTACAATAATATAAATAACTAATAACAATTACAGAATGCTGGCTATATATACTGCAGTTATACACTAAATGATGCATATGAATAGGATATTTAATTGCTCTGAAGCCTTCTTACATACACCATTTGCATTTGTATTTTGTAAAGCTGCAAATCTTTATTGCATGGCATCTTATCTATTCCAAACAGGACAGTTTTTTATTCCAGGAAACATACAATCCTTTTGCAAAAAATTATCATCTGGACTTTTTAATAAGTACTCTATGGGCACATCTACACGAGACGCTTTACTGCACAGTAAGCGTCACTGTCTACATGTAAAGACCCTTACTGCACAATAATTTGCTCTACTCTGCAGTTAATTTGCTACCTGCCAATGTAGGTAGCAAATTAACTGTCGAGTAGTCACTATGCAGTAAGCCACTTGTAGACTGCCAACCAGGAGCAAATTTGTTCCTGGTCAGTCAGGCAGCAGAGGAGGGAGATTGCCCCTGGGAGTTGCCTGCTGCCACTCTGGTGGTGAAGCCCAGGTCAAACAATGTCCCTTTACCCCAGCAGCTGGGAGCTCCTGGCCCCAGCTCCACAACTGGAGAGCAGGGGCTAGAAAATTGTTCCCGCAGAGCCCACCCCAGCAGCAGGTAGCTTTCAGGGGCAGGGAGAAATCAAGGAGCTTGCTGCACAGAAAGACTTCCCTCTCCAGCCAGGGGGTGGCTGGGACCTGCCCCAGACTGGGAAATTTCCTGGCCAGCCCTGGGCTTTGCATGGAAATCTGCACATGCAGTCCAGGGCTGGCCAGGAACTGTTCCAGTCTGGGGCAGGTTCCAGCCCTACAGTGCTTTCCCAGGCCCATGCCCTGATTAGGTGATTGAGGCATGGGTCTTAGAAAGAGCTGTGGGGGAGGGGCAGGTCCCAGCCCCCTGCCCCAATCCACTAGAAGGGGTAGTGAGCCCCTAGATTCCCCACCCAGCTGGGGGCATGCTGCTAGCTGCCCCACCTGTGCACTGGGGCAGGGGACTGGGACCTACCCCTCCCCTACAGCTTCTTCCAATCCCCGAGATGGGGAGCTGGGGCTGGGAATTCCCTGCTGTCAGGGAAGAGGGACACTGCCCCAGCCCAGGCTCTGCCATCGGAGCCCACCCTGTCAGCAGGCAGCTCCCAGGGGCAGGGAGCAACCTCTCAGCCCCCACCAGGAGACAGCTATCTCCTGACAGCCCTAGGGCTAGCACCCAGGGGGAGCCTGGAGCTCCCCCTGGCTGCTGCAGGGGGACAGACAGGGTGGGAGCAACCCTTTCTGGGCTGCTCCATTTGGAAACAAACCTGCTCCCAATGGCCTGCTCATGTAGACACCTGCCCATGGTGGGTTTACGCTGCAGTAAATTACTAAGGACTAAACCCATCCAGCAGCATTTGCACATGTAGATGTGCCCAGTGTTGCATTATAACCTGTTTTAGTTATAGTCACTTTCATTCCTGTAAATTAAATGGGTATTCCACTTAATTTTAGTTTTCAAACTTATATGAATATATATATTTTTAAAATATACAGCTTTCAATTTTAAACAATTCGCAGACTAAAATCGTGGTATGAGTTTTATACTTTGTTATAAAATGAAATTTATTTGATGGCATCTAAACAAATAAACTCTTCAACACATAACTACCAGCTTAAAACAAACAGGATTTCAATACTCTAGACCTTTTACATTATAATTTTCTTTTTTCTCTTCTAAGATATGCTTTTCACAGCGTGATTGTTTCCTCTGTCATTTACAGTAAAATTAAACACAGAACTATGTTGGACTTTTTTTTTTTTTTAATAAAGTTTTCCACTAGGAAAACTTTTTAAATGTACCTTTTTTATGGAAGAGGTGCATTAATGTACCTCTTCGAACCAAAGAGAAATTGGATACACTATTTTTATTTTAGTGACAGCATATCAATGCTTCCTGTAGTATTCATCCATACATGTATAGGTATGACTATCTTTCATTTATCTTCTTAGTGTATACACACTGACATAAATAGTTTTGAAACTAATAAAAGCAGGGTGTCTGACTTATCTGAAGTACTTTTGGTCAGATGCATTTGGGAGCCTTATCCAAAGCCCACTGTAATCAGTTGCCTGGATGAAACTTTTTTTCTCTAGCCTCACAAGGAGGAATTAAAAAACGAGGGACAGATCTAATGAAGAACTTAGACAAGTAAAAGCAGAACGCCACAATATTCAAGTTCTAGATCAGGGCTTCCCAACCTTTTCCTCAGCATGACCCCATTTCCTCAGCATGCCCCCTACCCCCAGGTGACCCTCACTCCCTACCCATAGTTCTCCACTCCCACTGGTGCCCCTCACTTGCATCCTGAAGCCCCCTGCCCCCTGAACCCTGCTGGAGGGAGCCCCCAACTGTCAGAACTACAGGACCAAGGCTAGAGCCTGCAACCCTCTGCTCCCCTCCCCCAACAGCTCCCAAGCCTTGGCTGCCACCCATGGGAGATGGTGGCTTCTGCAGCCCAAGTGGAGAGCAGAGCCCAGCTGCTCCCACCCTGCTTCCCCTGAAGATGGTATGGCTGGAGTAGAGCCTGTGATGGGGGGAGGATGCTGGCTGCCTGCTGCAGGCATGGGGCTCCCTGCCCTGCTGCCCTCCCCCCAGGGGACTTCATGGCCCAGCAGGTGGGACATGGGACAGGAGGGCAGAAAGGTTCAATGCCACTGCCAAGAGCTCCATGCCAGCCATGCTGCCATGGGAAGGCACCCCCTACCCACCTGGCATCAGTAGCAGTGGTGGCAGTACAAAATTTTGCCCTCCACTGCTGCTGGGTAGGCAGGAGGTACCTCGCCATGGCTGGCATGGGGCTCCCAGCAGTGGCACTGAGCCTGCTTTGCCATGGAGGCTCTGGGGGGAGGGTAGCAGAGTGGGGAGCCCTGAGCCCACAGTGGGCAGCCTGCATCCACCCCCACTCCATGCACAAATCTAGGGGGCATGTACCACCCCCCGCCCATGCCTCCCTCCCCAAGAATGCATGACTCCATTTTTTTTTTTTTTTATCACTGCAACCCAAAGGTTGGGAACCGCTGTTCTGCATGTTTGACCCCCAGGACCTTGTGTTAAGTGTTGGAGCTTCATATGCGCACTTCCAGACTTAGGTAGCAGCTGTGCTGGTGGTGTTTCAGATTGCAATGTTGGATTTCAGTACCTATGGTAAATTCCACCAAAGTCCTACTGTAAGCACCTAATTTCCTTTTGGATCTGGCTCTATGTAACTGTCTGTACCTCAGATCAAATACACAGTGAAGGCTGAAATCCTGACCCAGAGCAGCAACTGAGGAATACTGGTCAGAGGCAAAGAAAAGGACAATTGGTGTAAGACAGGGGAACACAAATCAAAATTTATTGAGGGATGCATTAATTGAGGTACACTCTGTTATGGAGGACTACCATTACTGACATCCCTCGACCTGTCAGCAAGCTGGAAACAACTACAAATGCAGGTGTGTGCATAGATCAACAAAATACTGCCCAGTGAGGACAAAGGATCCCCTGTTTTCTTTTAAAATCCCTTTTTTATTTAATAAAGCGATCTAACAGCCAATTAGGGCAGGCCACTAAAATGGGGACCTATGAACTGCATATGACCCCCTAGTCTACAGTATATATTGTGCACCCCTGGTCTAGGCTGTCTAAGCAATTATGAAATCACAATAAAATAACAGCAAATTCAAAGCAGCAATCTAACTGAAACAGTTATTTGTTTTTAGAAAAGTATCAGATCTACTTTTACTTGGACTTTTGAATTGTATTTGCATTTGGAGGTGTTTGACAAGGAGTAAAAGAACATACTTGTTTTGTCCAATTGTTTCAAAATCTTTCACAACAATTGTCAAGGATGATGAAATATCCAGAGCTATCCCTTTCAGATCAAATTCGAGAATCTGTTCAAAGAGATTAAAGCAACAATAGTCATTACAGATAAAATATAATCTCCCTTAACAATATGATCACAAACAACACTACTCTTGAATAAGCATGACATTTAGTGATACAATCAGACCTGCCTGAACTTTCACGTGGGTACTTGAAAAGCAGAAAATCTTAGAACCTCTCTGTAGTACCACTGTGACTTTTTATTGGTAAATTAAAATTAAAAAGGTGAGTCTCAATATTACTGCACAACAGTAATCTACTGATTCCACTCCTGCATACTAACATAAATCATTTATTTTCATTCATAGGACCTAATCCTGCTCCCGTTGTAATCCTGGGATGAAAAAAGTTGCCATTTTGATTTCGAGTACTTGTTTGTGGGTTTTTTCACATTAGTTTGCATAAACTGTGATGATGGCCTCTGACTTTCATTGCTTTCTCTTTATAACATTATAAGTTTAGAGGACGCCCCACCAATAGATGCATTAATCATGAAAAATGTGCTTAGTATATAATTAATCATCAAAGTGGAAGTGCTTATATAAAGGACCCAATTATACTCTCATTGTTACCAATGGCAGAACACCCTCCAGCCATATCTACACTGCAGCATCAGTAAGCTTCCACTGGGCTATTCACAAGCATCCTCAGCTCACCCACTCCTATAAACATGTACTCTGAACCCAGAAACATACTGGTGAAGATGCTCCAGGACCAGGCCCTGCAGGCATTCACAAGTCCTCAGTCTCTGGTGTGTTTGAAAGAAGTGACTGGGGAAATGCATCTTCACCAGCAAACGTCAAAGTTTGGGGTATGATGTTGGAATGGATGGACGAAGCATGCTCAGGGGCATCTCTGATAGGACAAGATGCTGCTACGGTATAGATGAGCCCTTTGACTTCAAGAGGAACTAGATCAAGGGCAGGCAATTATTTTGGGTGGAGGGCCACTTACCCAGTTTTGGCAAGCTGTCGAGGGCTTCATAGGTAGCCCTGCCCCTTGGTCACCATCTTGGGACCAATGTCCCAATGTCTCAGGGCCAGCATTGGTGGGGCCCAAAGCGGGGCGCAAGTTGGCAGGGGTCTGCAGACCCGGACTGGGCTGCACCAGCAGGGAGTGGGGGGGAGCTGGCCTGACTCCACAGAGCCACTGCTGGCTGGGACTGTGTACTCCTGCCACTCTGCTCTGGGTCCTGCCGGCTCTGGGACACCAGTGTGGCCTTGTGCACCCGCTCACTCCCAGTGCCTCCCAACCCCGTGGTACAGCGTGCAGCCCTAACCCCCTGCTCACCAGCAGGGAACAAGCTGGTGCTGAGTGCAGGGAAAAGCAGCCCCTCGCCCACCCCACGGCCAGTGCCCTGTGCTGTAGCCACTCGCAGCCCGTGTGGGGCTGCCTGTGCCTGCTTAGGACAGCCCTGAGCGGGCTGCGAGCAGTTGCAGTAGGGAGCGCCGGCCACGTGGTGGGTGAAGGGCTGCTTTTCCAGGCTCAGCTTTTCCCTGGGCTCCTTCCATGCC